TAGGGCATTCTCCCTGCACGTTCGTATCCTGAGCGTCAAGGGACAAAGGCAAGTCCCTCAGCTGTCCACTTGCAGGCATACAGAGTTGTTGGTTTGGGCGGGCTCGCGCTGTTGCACATCGCAGGTAGTCACCCCTTACTAGGTGTTGAGGGTTGCGGCGACAATTGGCATACGTTGTGACCTGGATATCGCACATTTTGATCTGCATAGATTTAAGTAGGTTATAATCAAATATTTCGTTTAGCGACGCTGTGAGGGATGGAAGCCGAAGGGAGGGGCGCTGCGGGGTCCGGGCGCTGACATGTTATCCGAGTATTGGACTCAGCCACAAGTAGCTCACAATTGACCTACTAGCTATCTTCGATATTCTGAGTTGCAAGTGTATCAAGGACAGTGGATGCAGACACTGCACGTTCGGGAAGACCACCAGGTTCTGACCCGCGGTGGGTTGGCGCCTCTGGAGACTTTCCGGTGCTAAGGCACAGCTGAGAGTGGGAGGTCGATATGCTTCCGCAGGTCCGCCTACAGCTCATCTGCATCCCCCATATTGTGTCTGCGAACTTCATGGACAGTTTCCTGTAATGTCCATCCACGTACAACGAGCCACCACACGCAATGAGCCGGACTTAACTCCGAAACGTCTTTGTGCTCTTCTTCGCCGGCATGTTGGAATCTTATTGCTTGATGTATGCTCTACCGATTCTCTTCTTTCTAGCCTGTCGATTTATGACAACACTGACGACCTGGTGGCGTGCCTAGCGACCACTTTGATGGTGCCATCCATTTCCGCTGTTGCAGCATACCCCTGCAACTCTGGGGTGTAGAGTGATTATCCAGCAATAAAAGCTATGAAATACAGGACGCTCCTGTGCTGATTGTTGACACCAAATTGGAAAGAGGCAAGTGTAGAGAAAAATGTGGTAGCATGGGTACGGAGATAAGACATAGGGAACAACAATTCTTGAGTGTGCTTATTCCATGCAGGGCTAGTCAGCTAAGTAGGTAATATATCGATTCTTCCATCATATAATCCGTAATCAAAAGGCCCGTCCTTATAGGCCGACAGAGCAATGTGGCGCAGGTCACCGGTTCTCGAAGATTCCACAGAAACCGCGACCGCTGCACGGGAAACATTCTATGCCTTAGGCCATAACGCTCCATCCCGCGAGGCGCGAGAGCAGCTTTGAGGAACGAAGTAAAATCAACAGACCACAATGGTTGTTGAAAGCCGGCCAATGCTGATCAGATGTTGAATTCTAAGGCAATGGTGAATGATCGGATTTGTTCTAACATAGGAGATGAAATTACCGGATGCTGTGTTAGGCATCCAGTTGCTTTTGTGAAATAGGCTAATAACTTGAGCATCACTGTTTATTCTCAGACTTTATCTTATGTGCGAAGTTTGAATGGCCGCAATCTCTCGCGATAATCGCTTCTGCTCCATACAGACCATCGTCATGCCCCTGCTTCGCGTGCTCTTTACGCAGCATATCGTCATCAAGAAAATCTTTGATATCAAATGATCCTTCTTCTACCTCTTGGATCTGCAGCATCAACTCTGCCGTGATGCAGACCTCATAAGCAGCCAAGAACTCAATGATACCTTGCCAGAAAACCTTCAGGACCCCGCGCCTATCATAAGGGTTGGAACGCTGTATCCATGAAGACCAATATTGAACAACTTGAGAGGCGGTGCTAACATCGATCATAAACCACTCGATATGAGCCTGGCAATGACGTTCGCACCATCTCATAGCATACCAGTGCTTCGCCAGCTGAAAATGAGTTAAAAGTTCAACCCGTTCCGGATGGCGTACATCGTCGCGGTAACTCAGAAGCTCGGGTTCACCGTAACCGCAATCAATCCAGTCACTCAAACGTCGCATGACGGGTCTGCTTGTGTAACCGATCTTGATCATGCCCTGGAAGGCATCATGTGTATAAGTGAAAATGTACACAGATCCTACTTTGCTTGCTGAAGGCTCGATCACAGAGAGCAAGGCTGTATCCAATGTCTCCCCTTCAAAAACGACATGCTTCGAAAATGTGGCTGGCTTCGAGGAGTTACGCCCCTGTCTATAGTCCAGTGCTTCGTCTATAACGACAGACTTCCTTTGTTGACGGCTACTGCTAGAGTTTGGTAGGGATAAATGTTCGATCTTGATAATCTGTGTACTCCTAGAGGATGCCGAAGTCATGTAACCGGGTATTTCGTGCTGCCATTGATGTGCCAAGCTATCCGCGAGCCCGCTGCCCCATATCTTGTTGCGATGGTGACGAGTACAGCAGCTGCGCTCCGCTATTTCTGCCAGTTTTTCCACAGTGAAAGATCTTCCCTGTATCAGCTTGTTTACGAGCTCGAGCACCAAGCTACTCTCTTCCTCATTTATCTGAATCAGAAAATATCTCCTCTTGTTTGGAAGGTACCAGATGCACCGAGACAGTTTATGGACTAGCCATTTGTAGGTAATCTCAAATGTCGGAAATTCTTGCACAGTGGGCAGGATCGCCATTAATAGTTTCAGCGGGCGAGTATGTCGAGAAGTTGAACTAGAGAGGCAAACGTCGACAGGCTTGTGTTATATCGTAGTGGGCTGTTCGCGAGCAAGTCTCAAAAGATGGAAGTCTGTCATGCTGATCGCGCCGTTACCTATTGGAGCGTTGCGGGGGCTCACCAAAAGCGTGCCAGGGTCGTGGCATCCAGATTCACCAGTGTGATTCGCAAGAGGCCCTAAGCCAGGAACGCCCTTCCCCACATCAACCTTCAGATGTTCGGTCTGACATTCACGATGAGTTTGAATGTCCAAAGCCGCCAGCAATGGTCCAAAGACTACTAGTGCTAGTCATTGTCGCCGAACATGGTTTCAGGAACTGGACTTTCGAGCGGCTAAAAATAAACGGGCCCAGGAACGGCCCTCCTTCAGGGTCTGGGCGGCTCCCACGCCTGCCTCCGCCCAGGCACTTCCTGCTTTTCGCTTCCTTCTCTCCCTTTTCCTTTCCATCGCTGTGACCACGGTGGGCTAACATGGACCAGGCAAGCCAAGTTCTGGCACGACAATCCACAGAATCATTGCGTAAACAAGCACTTGCCAGCGGAGTCCCTCGTACGACACTCCAGCATCGTGAACGCGGTCGACGCTCTAGAGAGAAGAAGGACGAGCGCCAACAGTATCTCTATCCGTGGGAAGAGAAAGCGTTCGCCAAATTTCTAGGACTCCAGGATGGTCTCGGACGATCCGTCCCGGTGAAGTACGTATGCTCAATGGCCTTTAGTCTCGCTTGTAAGCGCGATGCAGACGACAGACCAAGTAAACCTCCGAACAAAAATTGGCCTCAGTCCTTTTACAAACGCCATCCGAAACTTGCCTCTAGTAGACGTGAAGCGCTTGACTGGAAACGATTCAATATCTATGACAAAGTCGTTCACTGGTTCGACTTAATCGAGAAGGTACTGCAAAGACCAGATGTACATCCGTGCAATGTGTACAACATGGACGAGACCGGGACCTTACTTTCATTGCCAAAAGGCGCCAAGGTCGTTGTCAGCAAGGACAACAAAAAAGGTAGAAGAGGCGCCCGTATTAATCGCACGAATGTTACTGCTATTGAATGTGTGCGTGCTGATGGCAGGTACTTGAATCCAATGATAATCTGGCCGGCTTCGACGCACAGAGCGAATTGGACGACACATACAACTCCCGGATGGTACTTCGCCACGTCCGAAAAGGGTTCCACCGATTCGTACATCAGTTTACAGTGGCTTAAACTCATATTTGAACCTGAGACCAGAGAAATCGCTAATCAGAATCCTCGAGTGCTTATCAACGATGGCTTCGGAACGCACGAAACGCTAGAAGTGCTTCAGTTTTGTTTTGAGAATAATATCATTCTCTGCCGGCTGCCATCCCACTCCTCGCATAAACTCCAGCCCTGCGACGTCTCGGTGTTCGGACCTCTCAAAACCGCATATCGAGATGAAGTTGAGCGACTTAACCGTGGCGGCGTGGGGATAATCGGCAAGGAACACTTTACATACATGTACGGCCCTGCGAGGGAGAAGGTGTTCACAGCTCGAAACATACGATCTGGATGGTCAGGGGCTGGTTTGTATCCTTTTAATCCTAGCAAAGTGCTTAATGACATACCGAAGCCTGATTCTCAATCAACGGTTCCGGAAAATAATGACGTCGAACCAGAGCCTTGTTCATATGACCAGGTACCGCAAACACCTACAACGCCAGTATCAGCAGAATCGCTTGCATCCCTCTTAAATTTGATGAAACAGGTTCCTGATAACGAAGCGAACAGGCAGTTCCGGCAGAAACTCCATCAAAAACATATCAACGCCACCCAGTTGTGCTTTGCGGAGCGTGCCCTCTTGCAGACACAAAATGAGTTCCTAACTGAAATCAACAACGAAGGCAAGGTCCGCCGATCGACCAAATCGAAGGTCCTGGGAAAGGGGAAAGCCAGAATAATGCTTTGGGATGATCTCGAAGCAGCAAGAGCGGAGCTTGCTGCAAAGGAGAAGGAAAAGGAAGAGAAGAAGGCTAGGAGGGCAGCAAAGAATGCTGAGAAGGAAGCGAAGAATGCCGAGAAGGAAGCAAAAAATGCCGAGAAGCAAGTGAAGAATGCTGAGAAGGCAGTCAAGAAAGCTGCTAGCAAGAATGGACGAGGGCGGAAGCGCAAGACGAGCCCAGTAGTAGCGGATGCACCTGAATTGAGCAATAAGTCACCGCGAATGAGCGAGGCTTTGCATCCTTGGGAGTTTCAGACAGCTTGGATTGGCGACGAGCAACGAATCGCGCCTATCGCACGGATGATATAGCACGGCGGTAATTAGAGTGTTCATACGACACGACATCAGTCTGTCTCGATTAGGAAGGGTGGTCGCACCAAATTTGCAATAAAGTCTGCTGCCTGGTTGATCTATGCTCCTAAACAATCCATATCCTGTGCATATATCCGTTCTCGTGCACCAACGCATCGTCCAATACTTGCCTTGCAGTGTCATATTCGGCCACCCAATATGCCCTGATAACTTCCCTTACAGTAGAAACAAGTCAGGGATTGATGGGAATTCTGCTCGCTTGGAGCGCCTCTAAACCTTGTCTTCGTTGAACACATCGTAGGGTGGTTTTTCTGTAATCACGCCGTAGCTTCGGTGCTTGCTGTCCCGTTTGAGCTTTCTTCAGCTTCTACCTGCCTTGTCCCGCCTTTTTCTCTGTGGTCTGTGTATCGTCCTCGCTTACCGAAATCGTTAGATTAAACATATCTGATACTGTTGCTTCTGCTGTTGCTACCGCTGCTGTTGCTACAGCCGTGGAATCCAGGTGGGAGAAGACTTGGGCTGATTACTGGTGGCCCCGCTTCGACGTTGGGAGCTTGGGGTTCGGGCTCGCCGCGTTTCTGAACGAGGAGACGATTGTCTGTGGCCGTCGCTGTCGCCGCTATGGCTGTGCGAGCGGACCTGTTGGCTGTGGCGGCTGTCGTATCGCTGACGGCCGTGGCCATCTTGACGGAACACCGGGCAGGATATGGAAGGTACGCTCACGTGATCCGAGCACCGAGGATGATGTCATCACTAGAGAGAGGATGACGAATGAGAAGTGTACACGTGGACGAAATGTGAACTTTGCGCCAGCAGAAGGTCCCTCGATCTAGCGATTCGTCAGTCACGTGCTTGGATTCATCTGCAGTATTAAGTACAACCAGCTTTACCCGCAATTACTGTTCATCCTTAGATGATCAGCCAATCCAGCCTGATCTCGCACTCGGTTTTACTTTTAAGCAGCATGTGCACAATTGCTTGTAAAACGTACGCCTCCTGCTCCCGTGTTCCGAAACATATGAACCGT